GCAAATATAACTAGAAAAGCTCCAATTTCTGGGAAATTGTGTGAAGTGTTCTTGCCTCCACCAGTAGTCTACAACTGGAGTGGGCGGAGTAACTGGGTGGAGTGGCTTGTCACTATGCTGCCTGCTTACACATCAGAGTTCCTATGGCAACTCACTCTACAGCAAGGGCAGAGAAGAGCGGTTAAAAACAAACTGCTCCAACTTGTTCACTTCACTGGCGGTTGCCATCTTCAAACGGTTGTAGTTTTAAAATTATAAATTCTACAGCAAAGAGCTTTATATTGTGAGAATCACAAGACCCAGACCTACATTTTGATGCATAGTATGTCTCTGAAATATTAAAAATGAAGGCACAGTCGCAGTTTAGAAATTTCCCTTCACATTTGAGGTGGCTAGAGTGGAGTTTCAATGAATGTCAATGGGCGGCGTGAGTTGCAAACAAATGGTCATATTGTGAAAACTATCAAGACTATGGCTTAGCCGTGGACATTTTTAGTGGCAGCAGGGATAGCTGAACGTTTTGATATAAGATTTGTGTAGGTGGGCTTGAAAATGAGGGAGTGATGGCAGTTTAGAAATAACGTCCTGATTTTTCAGCTCACACTCTAGCTTTTGTCAGCTCCCACTCTAGTTTTGAACATTCCGCCATTCATTCCTATGTGACCAATTTCACCACAAAAACGCCGATATTTTGTGAACCATTCGGCGAAACGTTCCACAAAGTAATAGCACACCAATCGGGAACAATCCGCACGTTTCGGAATATTACTGTCTATGTAGTGTAAAAACTGTGGGAGGAGTTAGGGGGGTAAATTTGGCTATAATAATAAGAATATATATGTGAGATGACAGGAAGTGGTCGCCACGTGAGAACACTTAATAATGGTTAACAATGAAATAACTTTTTAGTGATGTATATCATCACATAGAAAGTCTACCATTACAAAATTGTGAAGGCTGCATTTGATAGTCGCCAAAATTTTTATTTTTGTCAGCTTTTTTGCTGCCTTTGTCCCAATGGGTAGCTTTCTCTTCGCTTCCTCTTCCATAGATGATCCCTTCATAGTGAGTGAAATTCTCTATTAGAAAGTTGTCACTTCAGCAAATGTCCTCATTGAAGACTTCCCCTCCTTATCTGGTGACAACTTTATTTTTAACTTTCTCTCATTCTCAGTCTTGGTGACCGTGATTACTAGTACAAATAATAATCAGTAATAGTTGCTATCCTGTTCTGACTCTCCTCATAAACTAAAAAAAAATACATTTTTAAAGAAGAGCTTCAAGGTCTGTGCTTTTCAACTCAAAAGAGCTTCAAGGTCTGTGCTTTTCAGTACTCAAAGAAGAGCTTCAAGGTCTGTGCTTTTCAGTACTCAAAGAAGAGCTTCAAGGTCTGTGCTTTTCAGTACTCAAATATCTGCCTCCTGCTCTGATAGGCTGTATAAATGTTTTTAGTATATACAGTTTTTTTTACCTCATGTCACATGACTTTGAAGGTCCTTTCCTGCATCCGACAATGTGTTGGAAGGATATTTATGGCACTGGGTACATCACAGTGACTTGGGCTGCTCAGGACTTTAGGGAGTGGGGCAGACAGAAACCTGGAAGAGGATAATGGTGGGGGACATCATGGATGTCAGACCATTGGAAAGGAGGTAAATATCTTCTTCTTTGTTCCACTTTAAAGTGTATTTGAACCCAAAACAAAATATAATATATTACAGTTTACTAGTACTTGGTGTGGTGGCTGCATTTGTTTTCTTTTTCAAGCTTTTTATTTGCATTATTTTCACCCCTGTGATCTTGCAAATAACATACTTCCTGTTGCTGGCTGGCAGTGATTAGTGGATGACGGAGCCATAGTAGGTGTTTTAACTTAACACATTGAAACTGGTGTTGAGCTTTAATTACCTGGTGTTCATTCTATTACTGTTAGTCACTGACGTACAGTTAGCGCCATAAATATTGGGACATGGACACAATTCTAACATTTTTGGCTCTATACACCACCACAATGGATATGAAATGAAACGAACAAGATGTGCTTTAACTGCAGACTGTCAGCTTTAATTTGAGGGTATTTACATCCAAATCAGGTGAACGGTGTAGGAATTACAACAGTTTTCATATGTGCCTCCCACTTGTTAAGGGATCAAAAGTAATGGGACAATTGGCTTCTCAGCTGTTCCATGGCCAGGTGTGTGTTATTCCCTCATTATCCCAATTACAATGAGCAGATAAAAGGTCCAGAGTTAATTTTAAGTGTGCTATTTGCATTTGGAATCTGTTGCTGTCAACTCTCAAGATGAGATTCAAAGAACTGTCACTATCAGTGAAGCAAGCCATCATTAGGCTGAAAAAACAAAACAAACCCATCAGAGAGATAGAAAAAACATTAGGCGTGGCCAAAACAACTGTTTGGAACATTCTTAAAAAGAAGGAACGCACCGGTGAGCTCAGCAACACCAAAAGACCCGGAAGACCACGGAAAACAACTGTGGTGGATGAGCAAAGAATTCTTTCCCTGGTGAAGAAAACACCCTTCACAACAGTTGGCCAGATCAAGAACACTCTCCAGGAGGTAGGTGTATGTGTGTCAAAGTCACCAATCAAGAGAAGACTTCACCAGAGTGAATACAGAGGGTTCACCACAAGATGGAAACCATTGGTGAGCCTCAAAAACAGGAAGGCCAGATTAGAGTTTGCCAAACAACATCTAAAAAAGCCTTCACAGTTCTGGAACAACATCCTATGGACAGATGAGACCGACATCAACTTGTACCAGAGTGATGGGAAGAGAAGAGTATGGAGAAGGAACTGCTCATGATCCTAAGCATACCACCTCATCAGTGAAGGAAAAATGCCCCAAGAACAAGCAGGAACTGAAGACAGTTGCAGTAGAGGCCTGGCAGAGCATCACCAGGGATGAAACCCAGCGTCTAGCGATGTCTATGCGTTCCACACTTCAGGCTGTAATTGACTGCAAAGGATTTGCAACCAAGTATTAAAAAGTGAAAGTTTGATTCATGATTATTATTCTGTCCCATTACTTTTGGTCCCTTAATAAGTGGGAGGCACATATGCAAACTGTTGTAATTCCTACACCGTTCACCTGATTTGGATGTAAATACCCTCAAATTAAAGCTGACAGTCTGCAGTTAAAGCACATCTTGTTCGTTTCATTTCAAATTCATTGTGGTGGTGTATAGAGTCAACAATGTTAGAATTGTGTCGATGTCCCAATATTTATGGACCTGACTGTAGAACAAGTATGCCAATCAGGAGTCTTTACTTCTCATTGATGTGGAACAAGTATGCCTGACATGAGTCCTTACTTCTCATTGACTTGGAACAAGTATGCAATCAGGAGTCCTCATTTGTCATTGACTTGGAAAAAGTATGGCAATTAGCAGTCCTCACTTCTTATTGACTTGGAACAAATATGCTAATCAGGAGTTCTTACTTCTCATTGATGTGGAACAAGTAAACCAATCAGGAGGCCTTACTTCTCATTGACTTGAAACAAGTTTGCCAATCAGGAGTCCTTACTTCTCATTGACTTGGAACAAATCTAAATGACTAAAGCTTGTCTTGACCAGTGTCTTAAGATTCCCATTTCCCAGGGCAGTCTCATACACAGCACCCCCTGCACTTATCTACAGACAAATAAGAATGCACATTATACTGATAGTGGGCCAAAAAGGAGGAATGAGAGACAGGTGGGGACAGGTCAGTCTGCAACATTTTAGTGCCGTGTTTTACATTTGCATTTGAGGGAATCCTAGAACTTCCTGCACTCCAGGATTTGGGAGCTCTAGGTGACTGGAGAAGATGTGTGAAAGTGTACAGGCAGGGGCGGACTGACAACTCATGGGGCCCCCGGGCAATAGGGGATCATGGGGCCCCTGTGTCCTTGCCCAAACTCAAAAAAGCCTATGAAAAAGGTACCAGGGGCATCTCATGGGGCCCTCTACTGACCTCGGGCAGTGCCCGAGTTTCCAAATGGTCTGTCCGCCCCTGTGTACAGGTCATTTAAGATGGATTCAGAAGTAACAAGCTTACCTAAAGTGGTATTAAATTCCAAAGCAAACATTTACTATGTTGCAGTTTACCAATCCCTAAATGTGGTGACTGCATTCGTTTTCCTTTTTCAAATTTTTTTCTTTTTTATTTTATATTCACCTGGTGATCCGGCCAATAACACACTTCTTGTCTAATGCCGGCCATAGACGGGCCGACGATTTTCGCACTGTTAGTGGGTTAATTGGCGGCCGTTTTTTTCGGATTTTTTGCATATTTTTTTTATCGGGCATGTTGGAAAATTCACGGCCGATTTTAGGGTGTCTCCAATCTGGATGGAGGAGCTACGGAGACATCTTCAGAGAACAGCATTATGAGTCTGGGGGGAGGGTAGGATTAGATGTAGTACTAGCAGGTTTAGATGGAGCTGACTAATGAATTAAACTTCAACTAACACTTTTAAGCAGCTACAGCAAATTTTTTCCTTGTGGGATAAAGTTTTACAGGAATGAATATAAAGTAAGCATTGTAACCACCCTTGTCAGGGTTAATTAGTTTGTCTCAACCCTCTAACTGCCACTTTTGCTGTACAGCTTAGTCTGTTTAACCACCTTCTGCCCGCCATATAGTCCAATGACGGGCGCAAGGTAGTTCTCTCGTTCTGATAGGACGTCATATGACGTCCTTCCATTTTCACCCGCGCATGCGCGGCTCAGGGAGCGCGCAGCGCGGTGATCGCCGGTGCGCTGTGTCCCTCAGACATCCCTCAGATGTCGGCTTGGTCATGTGATCAGCTGTGTCCAATCACAGCTGATCACATGTAAACACAGAAATGCCGGATATCGGCATTTCTCTCCTTCCGAGCTGTCACACTGACAGAGGAGAGGAGAGCCGGTAATCGGCTTTCCGCGGAGGGAACATGTACACTGATCATCAGGGCACTGATGATCAGTGTGCCCTGATGATCAGTGTGGCCCCAGAAGTGCCACCTGTCAGTGTCCATCAGTGCTAGCAGTCAGTGCTCATCAGTCACGTGCCAGTGCACATCAATGCCACAGTGCCACCAGTGCACATCAATGTCACATATCAGTGCCCATCTGAGCTGCCTTTCAATGTCACCCATCAGTGCCAGTCAGTGCCACCTATCAATGCCAATCAGTGCCACCTATTAGTGCTGCCAATCAGTGCCACCTATCGGTGCCAGTCAATGCCGCCTATCAGTGCCAGTCAGTGCCGCCTATCAGTGCCAGACAGTGCCACCTATCAGTGCCATATATCAGTGTCATGTATCAGTGCTGCCTTTCAGTGCCCATCAGTGATGCCTGTCAATGCCCATCAGTGCAACCTACCAGTGCCTCCTCATCAGTGCCCATCAGTGCCACCTATCAGTGTCCATCAGTGCAGCCTATCAGTGATCATCACTGCAGCCTCATTAGCGCACATCAGTGAAGGAGAAAAATCACTTATTTACAAAATTGTATAACAAAAACTAAGAAAAAACTTTTTTTTTTTTTCAAAATTTCAGTGGTTTTTGGTTTAAGAAAAAATTTAAATCCCGGAGGTGATTAAATACCACCAAAATAAAGCTCTAGTTGTGTGAAGAAAATTATAAAATTTTAGTTTGGGTACAGTGTTGTATGACCGCGCAATTGTCATTCAAAGTGTGGCAGCGCTGAAAGCTGGAAATTGGCCTGGGCTGGAAGGGGGGTAGAAGTGTCCTGTAGGCAGGAAGTCGGTAGAAGTGCCCTGTAGGCAAGAAGGGGGTAGAAGTTTCCTGTAGGCAGGAAGGGGGTAGAAGTGCCCTGTAGGCAGGAAGGGGGTAGAAGTGCCCTGTAGGCAGGAAGGGGGTAGAAGTGCCCGGTAGGCAGGAAGGGGGTAGAAGTGCCCTGGTAGGCAGGAAGGGGGTAGAAGTGCCCGGTAGGCAGGAAGGGGGTAGAAGTGCCCTGTAGGCAGGAAGGGGGTAGAAGTGCCCTGTAGGCAGGAAGGGGTAGAAGTGCCCTGTAGGCAGGAAGGGGGTAGAAGTGCCCTTTAGGCAGGAAGGGGGTAGAAGTGCCCGGTAGGCAGGAAGGGGTAGAAGTGTCCTTTAGGCAGGAAGGGGGTAGAAGTGCCTAGTAGGCAGGAAGGGGGTAGAAGTGCCCTGTAGGCAGGAAGGGGGTAGAAGTGCCCGGTAGGCAGGAAGGGGGTAGAAGTGCCCGGTAGGCAGGAAGGGGATGACAGTGCCCGTAGGCAGGAAGGGGGTAGAAGTGTCCTGTAGGCAGGAAGGGGGTAGAAGTGCCCTGTAGGCAGGAAGGGGGTATAAGTGTCCTGTAGGCAGGAAGGGGGTATAAGTGTCCTGTAGGCAGGAAGGGGGTAGAAGTGTCCTGTAGGCAGGAAGGGGGTAGAAGTGCCCTGTAGGCAGGAAGGGGGTATAAGTGTCCTGTAGGCTAGTGGTTAAGGAAATTGAAAAATAACAGACTTACTAGCAGGATCACCAGGTGAAAATAAAGAGAAAAAAAGATACTGTCCAACTCAGCTCCTAAACTGCACCATGTAGTTAGGCTGTGCATTTCCCTGTGTGCCAGCTGTGGGCAGTGTAACACATATTGTGACCTCATAAATAAATTGATTCAGATATGTAACAAAGTTCTTTTTCCTCTAACAATAGAATCTTTCCTTTACTCTGGCAGCAAATTGAATTACTCTTCCACCGTGCTAACAGATTCATATTTATTTTTAATCCATTGTGGAATAGTAATCTCTCACTAACTTTTTTTTTTTCTTTGTTTTTCTTTTTTTAATCAGTGAAATGCTTTTGTGTGTAGGAAGGCAGGTCCATCCTGGTACAAATATGGATTATACTTTTAGTTCTCATTTACACTGCCAGTGTGTTCATATGGGATTATAGGGCATTTCTAAATGCATGTAATATTTTTACGAGGCATAATTCACACTGTGCATTCACTTGCGTTTAGCTGCATTTAGGCCCTGTCCTATGTATCGGCAATCTAGAATCACCGACAAAATCAGCACAATTCTGCTGTGATTCCAAATTGCTGCAAAACGCACAACTGACCTTTAAGCGCTGTTCGTCCTGAATGGCACCCCAAACACGCATGATTTTGCTGCGATTTTCATACAACAAAACATTCAAGAATTGCAGCAAAACATGCTTTTAAAATTGCTCCTGGCAATGTGAATGGGCTGCCCTATGCACAATACGAGTTTCCGCATGTGAATCACACTTTTTTAACCCCCCTGGAGGTATTCCCGAGTGTAGTTCGGGGTAAAGTTTCAGTACCACAAGCGGTAACCTCGAGCTACACTCGGGCTTACCTTGCGGCGCTGCTCCGGGATCCCTCGATCACTTACCTTGTCCTGCGCTCCCGCGAATGTCCTTCCTGCAGGGTCCCCTGTAAGTCCTCCGGCCAATGCCGGCATCTGTCATCTGGGTTCCGTTCGTCGGGACGTACGGGGGACGGGGACGGAACGGCGGGAAATTTGAAAATGACAAAAAGTGACATTCACTAAAATCACTAAAATCACATAGTATAACATTCCTGTATCAACCCATTTCAAATACATTGTGTCCCGAGTGCTTTGTCCGGCGCCCTGCCTGCATTTTGACTGTTCTTTCTGCCTGGAAACTGAGAAACGTCCATGGCGTCCAAAAAGTGTCCCTTTAGGTCAAAAGTGGTTTTAGACCGGCTAGAGAACAGCGATAGTAAATCAGAACCACTTGCAGAATTGAGTGATAATGATTCGTGGGGGAAATTCGTCATCAGACACTGAAAATGATTTTGCGACTTTGCTCAGCGATGTGCGAACTTGGCGCTATATTTCAAATTTCAGTGTTTTTGATTTGATTATATTATTGAATAACATTTATTATATTATTATTTTTTATAATTATTTATTAAATTATAATTTATGATTTTGTGTTTCAAATTTTATCCTACCTGGGATGTTTACTAGACTCTTGTTCGGACAGATTTCAGGGAGTTATTCCTAAAAATTACAGCCTACAATAAAAAAAAAACATATTTCCATGCAAAATAATGGTACCGCTTTGAGCACAGAAATATGGACATAATCAGAGCACTAGGGAGACTAAACTGCTAAGCAATGTGTGAATGAGGCCTTAGAGGAAATAAACTTCTGTTTGCCCAGCAGCAGATAGGATACTCAGAATATGTTTAAACTCAGGTGAACAAATTAAATTTAACTGCAGGAGGACTTGATCTGGGAAGAATACATTTTTTCATATTTATATTTTAAATAAACCAAACGCAGAAAATTAGTGTGAGTATAGCCCAAGGCCTCAATCACAAAACAATCAGCTGTGGTGTGGGAAGTAATTTGTGGAAAACAGTGGCTGGCAGCACAGGTGATAATGGACAGCCTCGGCTGGGAATCCAGTACAAAGCAATGACAGACTGCCAATGGCCGCAGCTGTCTGCCTGTATTTGGAAGTAATTGCACATAGAGTGATTACCTGAAGTTAGGGACAGATGATTGCCCTGAGCAAGAATGGCAAGAAATTACACAGAAAGGATGTTTTTAGGTGTTCTTTTTGAAATCTGTAGGGACAAAAAAATGCAAGACCTTACCCCAAAGAAGCTTTTTCTAGCTACAAGTGACAGAGCATTGTTTTGTTAACATGGGCTATTGACATGAATGGTATTCTAGCTGTTGAACATTTTCACATTTCGGCATAAGCATGACAAAATGCTCAAAAAGTATTGGGGCTGAATTCTTTTGATATAAAGCGTGTCTATGGTCAAAATGTAAAATAATGCGACCAATTCCATACTACTCTCATTAATTTGAATGATCTTGAAGATACACACAAATATATATACAGTGGGGCAAACATCATGCTTTGGGGCTGTTTCTCCGCAAAGGGACCAGGACGACTGATCCATGTACAGGACAGAATAAATGGGGCCATGTATCGTGAGATTTTGAGTGCAAACCTCCTTCCATCATTAAGGGCATTGAAGATGAACCGTGGCTGGGTCTTCCAACATGACAATGATCCCAAACATACCGCCCGGGCAATGAAGGAGTGGCTTCGTAAGAAGCATTTCAAGGTCCTGGAGTGGCCTAGTCAGTCTCCAGATCTCAACCCCATAGAAAACCTTTGGAGGGAGTTGAAAGTCCGTGTTGCCCAGCGACAGTCGCAAAACATCACTGCTCTAGAGGAGATCTGCATGGAGGATGGGCCAACATACCAGCAACAGTGTGTGCCAACCTTGTGAAGACTTACAGGAAACGTCTGACCTCTGTCATTGCCAACAAAGGATATATAACAAAGTATTGAGATGAACTTTTGATATTCACCAAATACTTATTTTTCACCATAATTTGCAAATAAATTCTTTCCAAATCAGCCAATGTGATTGTCTGGATTTGTTTTCTCATTTTGTCTCTCATAGTTGAGGTCTACCTATGATGCCAATTACAGGCCTCTCTCATCTTTTTAGGTGGGAGAACTTGCACAATTGGTGGCTGACTAAATACTTTTTTGCCCCTCTGTATATATATATATATATATATATATATGTTTTTACCGTTGCTCAAGGTAGAGAGACTCCCAGTATCCAAGAACAACTCCTCCTGTAGGTTCTAGCCCAGCTCATGTGCTGCATAGATGAGAACAAAATATGTCCTATTGGCTGACTCCAAACAATCCACTTTACTGAACCAAGATGAAAACCAATACAGACAGTGGGAATACAATGGGGGATTGGCAGGTAAACGCGTTTCACGCTAAAGACAGGAATTATTCATTACCCAGAATAATGAATAAATAAGCGCTGTCTTTAGCGAGAAACACATTTACCTGCCAGTCCCCCACTGAATTCCCACTGTCTGTATTGGTTTTCATCTTGGTTCAGTAAAGTGGATTGTTTAGAGTGCAGCCAATAGGGCGTCCTTTGTTCTCATTCGCACATGTATAATTTGTTGAATTCTGTGGCCCCTTTCACATGGGCCAGATCAATTTTCTCAGAAGAGGATCTGCCTGTTGATCCCCTGCTGAGCAGAGCTGAGCTGGCACATGACATCCAACTGCCCTCTGATCCGGCCAGATGGAGAGGAGGGGATCCTCTTCTGTTTGTTTTTGCTGGATCGCATTGGAGGTAGGCGGGTGTAAAGGCACACAAGTCCGCTTACATCTGCTGCTCCATAGAAGAGATTGGTGAATCCAATCGGGTCCTCTTGAAAAACAGACAGGTGGACCAGATCAGACCGCTCTTGTGAAAGTGACCCGTGACACATATTCAGTATGCCCTGTGAATAGGTACTATAGGTACTTATGTGTCACACATTTTACAGAGCCTGCCTTCTGAACTACATAAATGCTGAAA